AGGCTTGGGGAAGTCTACAATTTTTTTACTTATATTTTTTTGTTCAATACTAATTATGTTTCAAAATGGTAATAGGTACTATAATACAAACACACACACACACACACACACAATAGAAACCCTATTCTTACACGGCATACCATCTACAAGAAGAGATGGGAAATTTTTAAAGCTATGTAGGGTCTATGAATATTGGTTAGTGCAAGTATATGGAGCCAGCACACAGCAAGGCTATCGAAACCTGTACAGAAAACTCAGAGAAGTTTACCAGAGAAAATGACTTTCCTGCTGAGTTCAATGGAAGTTGAACATTATGAATTGAAAAGTACAACGAAGGTGAGGGAGGCTGAGACAAAATGCAAGGAAGGAGGGCAGTGTGTTGAGAGACGATGCTAGAATTATAAACAGGAAACAGGTCATAAAGGGCTCATAAGATACTTAAAATGTTGAACTTTCTTTTAAAGGCACTGGGAAAACTTTAAAAGTTTCAAACAAGGGAATGAATGAAGAGCAGGACCAGATCTGCAATGATAAAGTTCAAGGATGGGAGCATAGAAAGATGGCAAGCTAAGAAGCTGTTGTGATTATACAGGTAAGAGGTATGGTGGCCTGGACTAGGGGAGGGAGTTGGGAAGGACAGAAGTAGAAAGACTCAAGAGGGATTTTTGGGAGAGGGAAAATGGACTGTACTTGGTAGATGATTTACGTGTGAAATAAGCATTTCTCAGAATCCCCAGAGGGAAACAGGTCTGTGGATAAAGACTGTAAAACTGAGTTTTGGCAAGTCAGGTTTTAGATGCCTATTAAACACTCCAGTAAAAATATTTAAAGCACTGCTGTTCAATAGAAATATAATGCAAACCATTAATGCAAGCCAAAGACATAATCTTAAATTTTATAGTAGCTATATTAAAAAGAAAAAAGGTGAAATTATTATAATATATTTAGCCCAGTGTATACAAAATATTATCATTTCAACATAATCAATATAACCAAATTATTGAGATCTTTTACATTCTTTTTTCATAGCGAATCTTAAAAATGTGGTGTATAATTTAGAATTACGTCACATCTTAATTTTGAATGAGCCATATGTGGCTATAATATTGGACAGTGCCAATCCTAAGGGCAGTTGGATTAGTGGGTCTGGAGCTCAGTAGAAACTAAATGAAGAAAACCTGGAAGCATCAGTGAATGTTAAGTGAAGTGGTGAAATAACCAAGATCACCCGGGAAGAGGATGACTTGAGAGAAAGGAAAGCTCCTCACAGAATCCTAAGAAACACCAGCACTTAGAGGAGAGGAGCTTATAAAGGAGATCTGGAAGGAGCACACAAAAATGCATAGCTCATGGACACAGACAATGGGGTGGTGAAGGCCTGAGGCTAGGGTGGGGGGCAGGGGGGGTTAGAAGAGATCAATGGGGAAAAGGGGGGACATATATAACACTTTCAGTAAAGATTTAAAATAAAATAAAAAATTTTTAAAAGAACAGCTCCAACTGACATATAGGAAAAAAATATTATTGGGGGTAGTATATTCGTTCCATGTAATTATCCCTGTGCAAAAGAAAACATTTATCTAAATTTGGGGATGGATAAATCCAAGCACTATGTTAGGCATGTCATCATTATGGAACCTCTGGAGAAAATGAGTCACTGATGTAGTTTTCCGAAATGAAGTTCTGCCTTACATTGGTAGGGCTAACTCCATCCCTGTCTTTTCAGGAAGGGTGAGCTGGGCAGATCAGATTGGAAGAAAGAGAAGCTGGGAAAAGAACAGGATCCTGAACACCTGTGGCTCCTACAGAACGCCTGTTTTAGAACTGGTGAGTGAGGGAGAGAACAATGTAAGCAGCTCTCATGCATGTCAAGTTTGTTGGCATTTTAACAAAGCATAAAACTAAACTCTGCCCTCTAGAGGTTGACAATTCTATACAGATGAAATATTTACATGCCTGTCAACCCAACTGCTAGGGTGGAGTCCAAGGAAGCTATAAAACAGGCTGCCCCACAAATGTGGGTACCCATCTGACTTAAAAAAGGTAGCGAGGGGCAGGGACAGAAGGTTACCAATGCCAAACAAAAAAACTAATAGTGAAATGGGATCATAGAAGGGGGGACTTCCAAGGAAGAAATTCCACTCCAATCATTTGGTTGTTCGCAAAAGGAAAATGTGGTGCCTTGTTTACACAGCTATGCAAGGCCACACTCTGGGACCTCATGGTGAGGGAGGGGGTAAGAGTGGAAAGTGAAGACAGCAGGGTGCTTGTGCCATATCAGATCTCCATCAGCATGCAACCCCAAAAGATCATGACTGTGAGAGCTTTGTAAATCAACTCTTAGGGTGCTTGCTCCAGGGCAAGTAGCACAACAAATTAATCCTGTCTCCCTGAAATGCAGCAAAGTTTGTATCCACGCTGAATTCAAATTGCTCATTAGCTCTGACATATTCCTAATGAGGTTATAATGCTCTGGGACAAAGATCAAGTCACTCAGCACAAATGCGAGGGATAGAGTCATAGAAGGGTAAGGTTAGAAGGACCTGAGGGCAGTGCTTCTCAAACTTGAATATAAATCACCTGAGGGTCCTGACTCAGGATGTGTGGGGCGGAGTCTTTGATTCCGTCTTCTGACAGAACCCCCGGAGGCTGGTGCACTTTGACAAGCCCTAGAGACCATCTAATGCAATCACCTTATCCTAGAGGGGGGGACTCCAGAGCCAAGAGACATAAGTGAGACTTCCCTGGCACTAACTCGGGATAGTTGGGCATTTGTCCATAGACCTGTGGATCAACCTGAAAATTTGTAATATAATCATAGAGGGTAGAGTGACCAACCATCCTGGTTTTCTCAAGACTGAAGAGTTTCTAGAACATGAGACTTTCTATTTTAAAACCAAGAAAATTCCAGACAAACCAAGACAAGTTTTTCACCCTAGTAAAAGCCTTTTGAATCAGCTTGGAATAGTGTTTCAGGATTATTATTTTTTTGATCTTGTCAGTCCCTAAGTGCTGCTAAGGTAAGCACCTGAGTGTCCTGTCCTAAAGCTCTCCAAGAACTGATGCTCAGTAAGATTATTTCTGTAGAGCCTTCTAACACCAGCGCTAAGTGCCTCTGTAAGAGACAGTGTCCCAATAGGTTTCAAAATAAGGCATAAAAAAGGAGTATAAAGAACACAGACAAGTAAGTGTCATAGAAGCACATAATGTTCTTTTTAATTATATGAATCCATTTTAATTTTCCTCATTTGAAAAAAATACATCTAAGAAATAAATCGGGGGGAGGGTGTTTCAATTGGGGGAAAAGGAGACATCTGTAAAACTAGACAATAAAAAAAATCAGTAACTTATAAATATGAAAACACTCATTAAGACACCTTTGGTAAAAATCACTAAAATAACAATAAAAACCAGGATGCATCTGTGAGAATTTTTAAAAAGTCATGCTCTGCACAATCAAAATGATTAAAAATTAAAATATGTCCCTCCACACTGCTATTTTACTCATTGGAATTGGACCCATTAACATTACATAGAATAATACACAGTCTGGACAGCAAAAGTAGAAAAATAATTTCAAACTAGTTGATGCTAGCAGTGTTTTACTAAGGCTTTTAAAACAGAATGTCAAAATACTGATTCCATAGGCATTCAAAATGCAGACTGTGCAATACTGACCACAGTGACTCACTCTCTGGACTTTACTGGCTTAAAACAGATGCCAACATGCTCTAGCTGAACCACTTGACTTAGTTAGTATTCCTGCAGTAAAAACACTTAAAAGGAAGGAAGGAAAGAAGTGTGGCTAAATATATACAATGTTTGAAACAGGTAAAAGATAGAACCCCAGACACTCAACAATCATTACCTAGAAATTAAAGAGGGCAGAAGCAATCCTATTATGCATTATAAAGATCCCAGCTGCTGACTTAATGGTAGTTTCACTAGCATAACCAAAGGGTCCTTGCTCCAATATTAATAGGAAATGTATTGTACGAACCCAATAGTTCATGAAATTAACAAGGAAAATGAACTGGAGTGAAGCAACTTTGCAAGTAATAGGAAGGCATCAGCTATTGCTTCCCGGGAGCATATGGAACACTTAAAAAGAGCTTGGGAAGAGTAAACATGTGTAAATGAGAATGGACATTATTGGAATTTTTAATAATACTTTTTAAAAATATATATATATTTCTTTACTGATTTCAGAGAGGAAGGGAGAAGGAGAGAGAGAAACATCAATGATGAGAGAGAATCACTGATCGGCTGTCTCCTGCACGCCCCCTACTGGGGATCAAGCCCACAACCCAGGCATGTTCCCTTGACCAGAATCGAACCTGGGACCCTTCAGTCTGCAGGCTGATGCTCTATCCACTGAGCCAAGCTGGCTAGGGCTTTAATAATACTTTTAATTTCAATACATTTCACCCAGACAGTGTGGCTCAGTAGTTGAGTATCGACCCATGAACCAGGAGGTCACGGTTCAATTCCCAGTCAGGGCACATGCCCAGGTTGTGGGTTGTGGGTCATAGGTGACGTACAGGAGGCAACCAATGGATGTTTCTCTCTCATCATTGTTGTTTCTATCTTTTTCTCCCTCTCCTTTCCTCTTTGAAATCAATAAAAATATATTAATTTAAATACATGTCAAATTTTCTGTTGGTTGCAAATCTTTTCAAGAGGAAGCTATTAGCTTAAAATGTCAATAAGAGGTCATGGACTATGAGTTCTGGTCCAGTGATATTGAAAGTTAGCTGCCATTTGAATCAGTCTAAAACTACCATAATCATAAATGTATGATTTGACAGCTGTCAAAATTATTCACCATCACTTATGTAGAACTAAATACTTAAAATAGAACCTAGGAAACAATTTCCCTTTTATAAACCTCAACATCACTTCTCGGCCTTTTGGCTAAGATCAAGTGTATAAACCTTAACAGCCTGAATGATACATGCATGCTCATTACTAAACTGAAAAGTAAAGTTAATTCAACTTACAATCCAATAGACATACGATGAAAGAAAACATCTTCCCCACAGACACTGCCAGGGACAATCTGACTGAATCTGGCACTGACCGAACAAGAATCTGAGAGGGTTTCCATGGAAGCAAGAATGTGACTTCCATTTTTCCCAGACAGAGACCCATCCACGTCTTCCAAAATTGCTGCATGAGGAAATGGAAATGCTACTACGTTGGGAGAGTTTGTAAACTTTAACTGGTTGGTCTTCACAGTAAATCCACCTATAAAATGGAAGATAAGAGTGTTACATAAGGCACAAAAGGTTATTATAACAAATGGCAGCTGAATTTGCTGGGATATATTCAGTACTTTAAATTGCGTATTTATACAGTTTTGTTTAAGAAAAAAAATCATGAGTGCTTAGTGTATGTCAGGCTCTGTGATATGTACTGGAGACACAGTGGAAAACAAGAGCAATATGATACTGCCTTCATATAGTCTGTATTTTAGGGCAGTGATTCTCAACCAGGGGTCATTTTGCCCTCCAGGGGACATCTGGCCCTATTTGGAATCATTTGGGGCTGTCACAATTACATAGATGGCAGTGATATTGACATCTGGTGGGTAGAGGGAGGGATGCTGATTAACTTCCTCAATGCACAAGATAGTCCCACAACAAAAAACTATCCAGCCCAAAATACTAATAGTGCCAAGGGTGAGAAACCGTTCTAGTGGGAAATAGAGACACGGAACACTAACTTACTAATTACTAATGACTAAAGGTGTCTTGGTTTAGTTTTTCCATCTGTCTGCTCCAGTTCTTCTGTGGTGAGTTTAACCCCACCTCTTCTGAGGTTTATACTTGAAAGATTTACCCTCAAAAGCAACTTTCAATCATGTGGACAAAGAGTAATAGTAACACACTTTTTAAGTATTAGCTCTACCAGTGGTTCTCAACCTTCCTAATGCCACGACCCTTTACTACAGTTCCTCATGTTGTGGTGACCCCCAATTTCATTGTTACAAATTGAACATAATTAAAGCATAGTGATTAATCACAAAAAAATATGTAATTATATATGTGTTTTCTGATGGTCTTAGGTGACCCCTGTGAAAGGGTCGTTCGACCCCCAAAGGGGTCGCGACCCACAGGTTGAGAACCGCTGCTCTAGAGCTATACTTCTCAGCAGTCTGTCTGTCATACCACCTCCATGTGATTTGTCAGAACTGCCACTAGTCTGGTTGCCCAGGAAGGAACTATGGCAGTGGTCTTCTAAATCACACAGCCCTGTCATTGAAATCTTTACATTAAGCACATATCTCTCTGTACATATGTGACTATACGTCTTCATTATGTATATTGTGAAATAGACAAAAAGGAAAATAAAAAAGAATAAGATACAGAGAAATAGAAGCCCTGATGCTTTCACTCGGCATCCCAGTGGAGTCCATGCAGTGAATTAAGTCCTGCATTCAAGACTCCGTGATTAACCTCTGGCAACTTCTAAAGTTCATCTCATACCACAACCACCTGAAACTACAATTCAGTCCTATTGGGATTTTAATTTTTTGCATATGCTATTCTTAATACTTAGAAACTCTTCTCGGCACAGTCTCTCTTGCAAATATCCATTCACCTTTCAAAACCCTGCTTAAGAGTCATCTCTATGGCCCTGGCCGGTGTGGCTCAGTTGGCTGAGCATTATCCCATGCCTCAAAATGCCATTGATTCAATTCCCAGCCAGGGCACAAGCACAGGTTACTGGCTTGATCCCTGGTAGGGGGCGTGCAGAAGGCATCCAATAGATGTTTCTCTCTCTCCCTCTCACTTCCTCTCTAAAATCAATTTTTAAAAAATATTTTTTAAAAATAAAAAGAGTCACTTCTATGAAATCTCACCTGACCTTCCTTGCTCTTTTCACTGACCTTGTCCAGTTTTCTAGGATTGTACTCATCACACTCTAGTACAGAGACTAGATTAAACATTTACTTTTGGGCCTAGAACAAGAGTTCCTGGAAGAGAAGAGCTATGTGTTTTTCATCTCTGTACGCCCCAGTTCCTTAAACAAACCTGGAATAGACAGTTTTTAAACAAACAGTATGACTTAGCAAGATTATGCAGTGAGAAGGAATTAGAGCTGATAAGGAACAGAGTGCTTTTTTCAGTGTCTTATAAATGATACGAAACAATGATGCTTTAAAGAACTGAAGAGTTGTGATTTGAAGTGAATGTCCTAAGTTATTTTTATTCCTATTATTTACAAATTTAAGTCAGATGCCACCCAAATAAAAACAGTCTTTGGCTCTGCTTATTCAGAAGGAAAAAAAAAAGTAAAGTGGAGACTTGCTGATTATTCATTTAATTAAAAAAACAAACAATTATCTAAATTGGTGATTCAAACCACAAGAGCATATTTACTTGAATTACTTGGTTTGGCTGTTTACAAAGATCAAATCAACTAGATTGCTCCCCACTCCTTTTCACCTTAGCCCATGAGTCCTCCAAGGTATTTCTCACCACCTCTGAGATGTGGTTAACAATTGAACAAAAATTCCTATGCTTCTCTTTGTGCATACAATAAACCCTGGGCTGCTGAAAACATAAAGTACTAAGTTCTGGCTCCTTCAGTAAAGATTGCATGTATGTTAGTTTATATTCATATGTCTATCCATTCATCTTTATCCATTAATTTAATCAATGAGCCTTTTAGGCACAGGCTACTAGGTACTAATGATAGCACTGTGAGAAGAGACATAATCCCGGCCTTTGTGAAGCTCAGAGTCCAGCAGAGACACTAATAATAGGGTGATAGATGCCATCAAGGGAAAATGGGGAGCTACAGGAGCCCTATTGAGCATACCTGGCCTCCTCTAGGATTTATTTTAGGGGATTTGAGCAGCAGTTTCTACTGATGCAATTTTATAACTGAAAGAAATAATGAGTCACAAGGCTTTGCCACTATTTATCATATTTACTTGAGTGTTGGTCTTATTTACTGTTTGTCTTATCTGTTCAATCAACTTACCCTGTCCTCGGGAACAGCCCGAACAGGTTCTGATGGACACGCAGCCAGTAAGATCAAAATTAACAAAAGTTGTGTTAGATACCATCAGTTCCCATCTTTTGGGAGTTTTGATCCCTGCTGACATACACAGGCTTCCCTATGATTCACAAGGGGGAAAAGAAGGTAAGAAAAAGAAGAGAACTAGTACAATTTGTAATATACAAATAGAAACACTTAAGAAAATAAAAAGACAAGCTACAGACTGGGAGAAAATACTTACAAGTCATATACACGACATAGGATCACCATAAAATACACTATATTTTTATGAGAATGATAAGTAAAAAATTGTGACGATACCAAATGCTAATGAGGATCAGGAACAACTAAAATTCTCATATATTGCTGGTGGGAGCAAAAATGGCACAGTCACTGTGGCAAAAGGTTTGACAGTTTCTGATCCAGTTAAACATACCCTTATCATACGGCCTAATAATTCAACTCATAGGTGTTTACCTTTGAGAAATGAAAATTATGTTCAAGACTGTCAAACCTCAGAGGGAAGGCAGGGGAGGGTGGAGGAAGGATGTAGAGATCAACCGAAGGTTTGTATGCATGTATGTAAGCATAACCAATAGACACAGACACAAGGGGGGTGAGGGCATGTGCCAAAGGTTTCACACTATCTGGTTCCTTTTATATGATTGTTGAAAAGACAGAGAATAGATGAGTGATTCCCACAGGTTGATGTGAGAGGAGGACGTGGCTACAAAGATGGAGCTGGAAGGAGTTTATGGGGTTGATGCAATTGTTCTGCATCTTGATTGTGGTGGAGGTGGTTACACCAGTCCATACATATGTTAAAAACCAGACATTGTACATCAAAAAAAAGACAGGCACTCGCTGGTTTGGCTCAGTGGATAGAGTGTCAGCCCACAGACTGAAGGGTCCCAGGATCAATTCTGGTCAAGGGCAAGTACCTCAGTTGCAGGCTCCGACCCTGGTCGTGTGCAAGAGGCAACCAATCGATATGTTGCTCTCACATTGATGTTTCTCTCTTTGTGTTTCTCCTCCTCCCTTCTACTCTCTCTAAAAAGTCCATGGGAAAAATATCCTGGGGTAAGGATTAAGGACAACTACAAAAAAGTCATATACATTTTATATTTAATGTATGTTAATATAAAAATTAAAATTTAAAAACCTAAAAAAATTGCTTCCAGGATTTAACCACAAAATTTCTTCAGCAAACTCTATCTAATCAAGTTGTTAGTGCTCCACTGTACATTTGAGGATTAGCAGAAATTTTCAGAGACTTCCAACAGGAAAGAGTGATAGAAACAAACAAAAGAAAAACAGTAGAGAAAAAGGCAGTATAGAAAACTTAATAATCATCATTAATAACCACAGAGAAATAAATAGACTATATCCATGAAAGAAGAAGAAGCAGCCAAAGAAAAGGAGGTGGGAGTCAGAAAGGAAAAGAGGATGAAAACAGGAGAGCAGAAATAACAAATTCAGTAAGAAAAAAATGACAAGATAGCCTAGAAAGTAGAATAAAAATACAGTTGGGAAATCAGCGAAACTTAAGAAGATTAGAAAGCCAATTTAGGAGGTCCAATATCCAAATAATGATAGTTTTCAAAAAAGGAAAATAAAGAGGAGAGAATTATAAAATTCTCAAAGAAATAAGACTGAAAGTTCTCACCCAGTGCCTAACACCATGGATAGGACAAAAAGCCACACAAGGTACATCATATTGAAGTTGCAAAACATCAGGAACAAAGACAAGATCCTAAAAACATCCAAAAAAGAAACTAAAAGGTTACACATAAAAGACCTAGAATTAGCCCAGACGGTGTGGCAGTGGATTGAGCATCGCCCCATGACCCAAGGGGTCCCCAGTTGATTCCCGGTCAGGGAACATGCCAGGGTTGCAGCTCAATCCCCAGTAAGGGGCATGCAGGAGGCAGCCAATCAATGTTTCTCCCTCATTAACGTTTCTTCTCTCTCTCCCTCTCCTTTCCTCTATTTAAAAATCAATAAAAACATATTTTTTTAAAAAGACCTAGAATTAGAGGACCTTAAAACTATTCAACCTCAAAACTAGAAGCTAGAAGATACTGAAACATTGCCTTCAAAATAACAATTAAAAAATGAACTTAACCTGGTATTCTATAACTGACAACCTACTAATAAGGGGTTCTCCCTCTCCCTTCCTCTCTGTAAAAATTAATAAAATATATATTTTTTAAAAAGTTACTATCGGCTACACTCTAATAAATGAGGAATTAAATCAGAAAGGAGGAAGATGTGGGAGTTAGGAGCAAGCGTTTCAATAATGGGGAGACATGGAGAAACTATCCAGGATACTGGTCAAGAGAAATACCAGGATGTAGCTGTGAAACTCCTCACCCACATGCTAGTACAAGTGTGAACACTTGGGACTACTGTTTGGCATTATCCCCTAGAGCTGGAGGGACATCCTCTGAGCCAGCAGTTTACAACTTTGCATATATTCAACAGAAGTGCATGCACATATAGAGACATTGAAGATTGTTCATAACACTTCATCTGTAATGACCCCAAACTGCAAATAATCAAATGTCTATCAAGAGCAATATAGCTTTTTTAAAAAAAAACACAAAACTGTGGTACAGTCATAAAGTAGAAAACTGCATAGCAATTAGAAGAATAAAGTATTATAACATAAAAAATGAATGAATCTTGTAGACATAGTGTCGTGCCAAAGAAGCCAGACACTACAGAGCTACTTTGCTCTATGATTCCATTTATATAAACTTCAAAAACAGATCTGAAACCAATCTATGTCTATAGAAGTCTGAATAATGTCCCTCTTCAGGCAGGGGTCTGGGGGTTGGGTTAAATGAGAGGAGGCATGAGGGGCTTCAGAGGAAGTGGTAATGTTCTATTATTGACAGGGTGCTATGCACATGATTTTTGCTTTTTAAAAATCCATTGAGATCTTTGCTTGTGATTTCTGTACCTTTCTCCATTAATATTATATTTCTATACTACAGAAAAGTAAAACACTAGATGTGAAGGTAAAGAAAGAAAAGTGTTTGAAGTCCTTGCATTGCTCAGGTAAAGTTTAACAGTGCTGACGTAATTTAGATTTTAAGACAAGCAGGCATGTTAAAAATTTAAATCCAATAATGAACATAATTATACAGAATGAATAAATTATACAGAATGAATAACTGTAAAATGAATATATATATATGACACTACTCAATGCAAGACAAATCAAGTCAAATCAAGTTTAAAAAGTGGAGACAAAGAAAGCATTGCGAACTGAAAGCACAAAATGAGAGCAAATGTATGGGAGACATCAGTGTGCGGATGGTAATTGAAATCACTAGAGAAAATGAGATTTCTCCCAGGGAGAGCAAGTATATTGAGAAGAGAAGGGCCCCTACAACAGACTTTAGAGAAATAAAAAAATGAAAGGTCTAAATTGAGGAAGACAAATCCACCAGTGAAAATGGGAAGGGATCCCTAGAGAAATAGGAGGAAACATTAACTAAGCCCATTAGCATCTGTCTGAATAAGATATTTTTAAAAGTAGTATCATCTGCTCAAATTAATTACAATAACAACAAAAAGGCAAGCATCCTACAGATACTTTCAAAAGCAGGGTGAGCATAATATATATCCAAAGCAGAACATTTTTGAAAGTTTGAAAGGGGGTGCTAGTTGGATAAATGCTAGGATAACCAGTTTAAACAAATTGCACAACCAAACTAGGATGGACAGTATAGTGATGATAGAGTGCATCACTTTTTCTTGTATAGTAAAGCCACCCTCACTGGAAATTATTCTACTCATCTCAATATAAAGATAATGTCGGGTGTGAGAGTACCAACATATGCACTAACTAGAGGTCGATGCACAAAATTCGTGTAAGAGTAGGCCTCCCTTCTCCTGGCTGCTAGCACTGACTTCCCTCTGGCACCCAGGACCCAGGCTTCCCTAGCAGCCCGGGCTTTGTCCAGAAGGACGTCTGGTCTAATTAGCATATTACGCTTTAATTATTATAGATATGCTAGTTAGAGGCCAAAAAATAATAAAATTCTTTCCAATAATAACAAGGCCTTCAGAAACTATTGTTCGTTTTAGAATATGATTCACTGATAATTGTGTGCCACCAATTATATGTGGGTGGAGTGTCTAAGAATAATAGGCCAACTTCTCAGAAATTCTTTATACCTAAAGAAATGGCAGGCACAGAAGTTGGAGGCTAACACCAGTTCCACAACCACAGAGGTCAGGTCTCTCTTTTTTTTTAAACAACTGACACAGTTTCTTATGTCAATAAAAGGTTCCCAAATAAATCTAAACATTATTGTGTTAAATAAAGATTCAGAGATATGGCTCTTGTTTGTTTTTCACCCTAGGCTCTACAGAGCCTTTAATGTGTTAAAATATGATGTGAAATTCAGGGGATGAGAGGTGTGATAAACAGCATACCCTAACTGTTATTAACCTAAGAATTTCCTTTTCTTACCCTCTCTTGGGGCTAGCCTTCCATGGAAAATGCATCAGGAAATATTGAAATAGGTACTAATGCATGCTCATTGTCAAAGCTATTTTCCATGTGTAACTGAGAAAGTATTTGATCAGAAGTGGGAGGCCATCCAGGTGGTCCCACCTCCACACTACTAGGCATGGATCTTGGGCTTTCACTTGATTTCCTAAAGCCCCTATTTCTTCACCTGTAAATTCAAGAGTTCTAATTAGATTAACACTTCAGTAATATTTAGCTCTAAAATGACATGGTTTTAATATTTGGATGCCTAACCAGGATCTAGATCTCCCCTAGAACCGAGTGTTTGACATTTCCCATCCAGGGGCTTTTGTCCTGCACTTACTTGTTAAAAGACTAAGAGGCCCTCAGCTGTAATGCAGTCCCAGTGAATCCCATCTCAGGAATATGATTATTTTTATTATCTCATGATAACCATCCTTTTGTCAAAATTTATATCTTAATTTATGTCACTCACCCATTGATTATGATGTCTACTTAGCATCAATTAAGATGTTGTGACATTAATTGACCAGGACAGTTACTCAGCTTGATGGACATTTGGTTTTTAGCATCTCCTCGAAGGTTATTTTGGAAATATTTAAGAGCCTTTGAACTATGGTATATCAGAATCTAAATCTGAGTCCCATCTTCTGTTGGAAACCATGCAGTCTAAAAAAATCATTTCTTAAGGTGGTAATTCTTTCAGAGAAAAGGAAAAACTGGCAGATATTTTCCTCATGGAAAGGATGGTTCAAAAGAGATTTAACTAAGTTTGAGAATTAAACAAGAAAAATGTAGAAACCAAAGGATTTTTTTAATCTTAATATTTATATCTAGAGCTATGAAGTAATTTCAAAGGGAAGTACAAAAGTCAATAATTATCATTTAAATTTCAACGGGCCAAAGCATTCAGGTACAAACTAAAGAGAATGCTCTTTCCTTGGTTCTCAGAAGTACCTTAGTTCCCTTCCATCTGCGATTATTATGGCAATGCATATGCATGTACCTCTTTCAAAATAAGGACTGAGGGGACCCACTATAGGTCTGAAGCCTTACTGAGACCAATGGGAACCATGGGCTTCCCTGGAGGAGAAGAGGTACTTCTCTTCTGGGAGGAACTCTTTGCCTCATCTACAGTGTGGTATCCTGGCCTTGCAGTGCCACAGACGTGATCTACAGTCTTTATGTTTATCATGTAGAAATCCACAGTTACAAAAAGAGAGAGAAAGAGAGAGAGACAACAGGCCAAGATGGAGTCACTTTTGCTTAGCCAAGTCACCAAACCAAAGCTAATAATTAACCTAACTGCAGTTCCAGCCTTTCTCAGGAATGGACTGTTAAACCAATCAGTCTGAAGTTTCCTGAGCATCACTGGTGAGGCAAAATCTGCTTGGTAAAACCACTGCCCTTCCCTCCGCCAAAGATGACCTGGTTTATAAATAATCCTTTCTTTTCCTTTGCTAAGAACTCCCCTGTGTGTGTTGGGAGGGAGGTGGGGTTGATTGAGCAAATGAAAAAGAGAGAAGATCCCTAACCAGTTTGGCTCAGTGGATAGAGCGCTGACCTGCGGACTGAAAGGTCCCAGGTTCAATTCTGGTCAAGGGCATGTACCTTGGTTGTGGGCACATCCCCAGTAGGAGGTGTGCAGGAGGGATCTGATCAATGTTTCTAACTCTCTATCCCTCTCCCTTCCTCTCTGAAAAAAATCAATAAAAATATATTTTTAAAGAGAGAGAGAGAGAGAGAAAGAGAGAGAGAGAGAGAGAGAGAGAGCTCATGGACAGGTATAAAGTGGATAAATGGAGATGGGAAAAATAAAATAAAGTGGAGGGAGGTGGAGGGAGAACTCCCCTGCCACACCCTTTTGCCTCTAAAAACCTTGTGTTTTGTACAACCACTCAGAGCTTTCTTTACTTAGGATACTTCCCTGTTCATGAATCGCGTAATAAAGCCAATTAGATCTTCAAATTTACTTTGTTGAATTTTGTTCTTTAACACCACACTTAAGGAAGTATTAGGGAGTCACATAAGAGGTAGTACACTATAGTAAACAATGTAAATTTATATTACCTATTGGGGGGGGCACCCTAAATAGAGTAGTAAGGACCCTATGAACAAAATGTTGCTGTAGAAACTTGGCAAACCACGATGCAGAGAGACAATATGAAATCATGCTATTCTATAATTATTGTGAGGTTAGAATAAACTAACTTAAAATTATTAGATGTATTATTTAGTTGGTATGGATAATAATGCTACATTGCAACCAAATGAAAATTCTGCAAGCTACTCATGATTTTTTATGATTTATATTAACTTATAACATTGAATCCTTGGATATATTTGAATTTTATTATAAATACTACCACTGTTACAAATAAAAAGCTCCTCTAACTTTTACCAGTTAAATATTAAGATTCACTGAAGAATGCTTTTAAAATTACATATCCTGGGTCACCAGGGAGCCCATCACATAAGATGCTGTTGATGGAAAGCCTAAAACAACCACACTTAGGTACTTACCTGGTGAGCAAAATGACCAAGGAATAAGCTGTCAGTAACTAAAGTATTTGCATCACTTTCCAAGATATCAATTCCAAAATCTCTGCATGAATAAACTTGGAAGTTTTTCAGGTGAAGATTGCTACTTCTAAAAATCTGTTCAAAAAAATCAGCATATGTTATGGATAGTTCTCAGGCTTGGCTTTGCTTGCAACTTATTAATTAAGTATAAATAAGCATGCTTTTGCCCATCGATATCTGCACAGACATCCCAAAGTTGCCGTGAGGTCAGCACTAACTAGTCCTCTCTAGTAACACCCCCTCTATACTTTTCATTTCTCCTCATAATAATTGACACATTAAAAAGGTCAATGTGAATTCTTCAGATTTCTAAAATAAACTTGCCATTTCCAAATTACACAAAATTAGTGGAGAAAAATATAGCATCCAAGAACCCCAGTATTTAACATTTTCTTCAGTAGTATATATTAACTAATATTGTCAGAAAATTGTAAATGTGAAATAAGTAATTGAACATGACTACAGACTCAAAATACATTCTGTGAACATATATTTATGACAGGTTATGTTGGCAGGCCCAAACTGGGATCAAGTATTAACAAAATTAGATTAATAAAGTTGAAAGAATCCCAGTAATTTGTGGTACAGAACCCTTCATTTTCATCTAGCACTGACATTAACGAACTAGGTGATCTTGGAAAAGACATCAAACTTCTCCTTAGGCCTCATTCAACCATCTTTAAACCAGGGTGGAGATCAGGACTAACAATTAACCTAACAGAATCATTCCTTATTCATTAAATAGGGTCATGGTTGCCTTTAAATCTTAAAGTGAAAGTTTACTATTAATTAAGGCCAAGGTAGCCTTGATTTATCATAGTATTGTGCTTTATGCTAGAATTTTCAAGAATTAAATAGCTTGCATTTCCCATTTTGAATGCACCAATAACTTTTATAAACTGATAGATTTTTGAAGATACAAAGCTTTACTTAAGTAAAATAGGTATGATCTTGTCACAATTGTTACCCAATTACAGGTATCTCAAGTTCTGGCAAATAACTCATATTTAAAAACAGCTAACATCTGGCATTAACTGGAGAACCTGGTGATTACTAAGGAAATCAACACCCAATAGCAAAAAAGTCCCTATTTATAGTATAAATACAGCTTTCATAATGTGTTCTCATCTCGCTCTCCCTCCTCTAAAAGAATCACTCTGCATTTATGATACATGATGAGGAGAGGGTATTTTTCTCAATTTTTATTAACACACATACAGAAGGGTCAGATTGCCTAAGTTGGGATCCAGCAATTCTTAGCTGTGTGACATGAGCACATATTTTACCCCTAACCCAGAGAGTTTTCTTATCTACAAAAGGAGGATAATAATAATGCTTCCCCCAAAGGTTAAGATGATTAACTGAGAAAATATACAAAAATATTAGCTATCAAGATCATCAAATAGATATAAATTTATATTTACTCACAGTAGAAATTTTACCTGCTGGAATATTCTGTTTAAGTATCTATATATAAGACACTTATGTCTAATGACCAGAATACAGTCTGACAATAATGAAAACTATCTAATAATGAAAGTTTAAGAAATTTTAAAACAATGTGCTTCTTATGATGCAGAAGGCACTTCTAAATGTTACCATTTCCAGAGTCATCATTACTATCAACATCGCTCTATCACCACCCAACACTGTTTATTAACAACAGCTATTATTATACACCCAGCAAGACTGGGGCACTTTTCTAGGCACTTTATATACAGGCACTTATCTAACTCACAAAACAACCTTATCATTTAGGTTCTATAACTATTTCCATTTTACGAATGAGAAAGAAACAGGGAATTTGCCTAAGGTCACACGGATAGGAAGAGGGAACATTTGAGTTTACATGGCTATGTACAGAAGAGGTTGTTGTTGTTTTTTTCTTTTTTAACAGCTTTATTAATATACATACACCATACAATTCACCTATTAAAAGTTTACAATTAAGAGGTTTTAGTACATTCACAGATATGTGCAACTATCACCAGACTCAATTTCAGAACATTTTCACTTCAAGAAGAAACACAATATCCTTTAGCCCTGAGCAACCATTAATCCTCTTTCTGTCTCTATAGATTTCTCTCTTCTGGTCTTTCATATGAGTGGAATCACATAGTATGTGGGCTTTGTGACTGGCTTCTTTTCCTTACATAATGTTTTCAAGGTTCATCCATGTTGCAGTATAGTACATTGCGATTCATTTTATGGCTGATATTATTCCACTGTCTTAAGTACCACACTATATTTTCCATTTGTCCACCTTTTGGCAATTATGAATAACACTGCTATAAACATCTGTGTATATGTTTCTGTGAGGATATATGTTTTTATTTTTCTTTGATATATACCTAGGAGTAAAATTAATGGATCATACGGTATCTTTGATAATCACTTGAGAAACTGCCAGGCTGTTTTCCAAAGCATCTAGACCATTTTAAATTCTCACCAGCAGTATATGGAGGTTCCGTAAGAAATGGGCCTCTGTGATCCACCTCTAGCATGGCTGGCTTTTGATGGAAATGGTTGCTGCATTTCCCTAGGGCAAACAGAATGTAGGGAGGGACGAGGATGTAGGGAGCAAGGAACTGTGGACGTGGGCCAGCATCATGGTGGAGGCAACTAGAAAGGGCCTCAGCCCAATTTTTTTTTGAATGGCCCAATGGGAGACAGTAAGACTTAGGCAACATATGAGGAAACAGGTGACCCCATAGTACTCAGCCAATGATGAACCAGAGGAGGGATTGAATAAATGGGCTGTGTTCACTGTCCCAGGTGTGCCTGTACAACTGGATAGACACCTGCTCCTGAGAACGTGTAAGTCTCGTTTTCGCCATACTTCTGTCTCTGAGTCTGTTACTTGAATTTGGACAAGTGAGCATTTCTCACAGTTCCAATTTCTCAAAATCTTTGCCAACACTTACCACTTACAGTCTAGCCATCAGGATATGAAGTGGTCGTACCTCACTGTGGTTTTGCATCTCTAATAACTGATTATGTTGAACATATTTTCATATGCATATTGGCCATTTGTGAATCGCTGGGGAAATGTCTTTGCTCATTTTTTAATGGGTTATTTATATTTTTATCATGAGTTCTCTATTTATTCTAGATATAAGCCCTTTTCATATATGACTTGCAGATATTGTTTCCCATTCCATTGGCTGTATTTTCACTTCTTGATGGGATCCATTGAAACATACATTTTTAATTTTGATGAAGTTAAACTTATCTATTTTCTTTTGTTCCTTATTCTTTTGGTGTCATATCCAAAGATCTGTTGCTTAATCCAAAATCATAAAGATTTACTCCTTTGTTTTCTTCTATCAGTTTTATAATTTTTTTGCTCTAACTTTTAGATTTTTGAAGCATTTTGAGTTAATTTTTGTTAATAGTATGAGGAAAAGATCCAGTTTCAATCTTTTGCATGTGTCTCTCTATTTGTTCCAGCGCCATTTGTTGAAAAGATTATTATTTCCTCCATTGATTGGTCTTGGCATCCTTGTCAGAAATCAGTTGACCATAGTATGGTTTATTTCCGGACTTAATTCTATTCTATTGAACTATATTTCTATCTTTGTGCCAATACCACACTATCTAAATGTACTATTGCTTTATAGTATGTTTTGAAAAAAGAAAGTGTAAGTCCACCTTATTTTTTTCAGATTGTTCTGAGGGAAGTTACTTTAATTACTTTCCTTTTAATTACTTTCCTTTACTTTACTCATAAAAGTGAAGTTCCAAAAGCATTCTCATTATCTGGACTTTTAGTGCACAAGAGTTTAATTTTTAAGGATAGACTTTTTTTTATGAATTCAGCACTCTGGTTACAGAACTTGAGAAAACTGATTTTAATGATTTCCCTTTAATATTTTTGTTTCATTAGGTTATTTCCTCTAGAACAAGGTTATTCAAGAGCCTGGAGATAGAATTTAAGCTTCTGCAAGGCATGATTGCTTCTCTGCATAAGAGGGCACTCAACAAATGTTTCTATTCTCACCCCTACATTTATAGTGCTTATGGAAAACAATGAACATTTTAAAATTAAATGAGAATACTAAATATAATTGGCAATCCCTGGGTTAACAACCCTAATTATATGTTTTGGGGTTTTCCCCATTCAAAATTATCTTCCTCTTGTTGGATATATAAAGTAAATATCTAACGTTTTTATTGTGACTTAATTTTACATTTTTATTCTGTTTCCTGGGTGCCCTGTAAAAATATTTCTTCATCTATGTAAGTAGCTTAGGCTCCAGATTTCTAAGTGGCAGAGACCTAGTGTACGTAATGTTCTCAGTGTGGCACCAAATAGTGACGCTGGATGATTTTGTATGTTGCTGATAACAATGAACAAGCAAAGCTTACCTGTAAGAAATCACTGTGATAATGAAAGATAAATGACTGAATGTGAACTTTTCTCCCTTTTGAACAAAATAGAAGAAAATTTGACTCACTGATAAAAGTAAGCAAAGCAGTTTGAACTGGAATTTTTGTGTTCCAATGATAAATAGATTATAAAGTTTTTATGTAACAGCTCTCAGCAGTCCTAGGATCTTCTTCTTATGATTGAAACATGTATTAGCCCAGATATTAGGGTAGCAAATGCACATTTGGAGACTGGATTCTGTACCTAGTTGTGCCACTAACTATGTGACCATTAGCAAATTCATTTGCTTTCTGGGCTTTAATTTTTTTTATATCTAAATAGGCATGATAAGGGAGAAATAGATGAATTTTATGATCCCTCCTGGTGGTAAATCTTGATAGTAATTCTTTTGTTCTCTATTACAGCTGCTTAAAAGTCTCCATAAAGGAAGTCAACTAACCCTGCCTTAGTAACTAGTAATTTGTTCATTCAACAACTATTCCACATACATCTATAATGCTGCTGGTTCCTTAAAACTATGATGATATTACAATGCTTCCCTCAGCAGCAACTCATATATATAGCAATCTATATATATAAAGGACTAAGTGACTATCCAACTCAGTGTACATATGATGTGCACTGACCACCAGGAGGCAGACACTCAATGCAGGAGCTGCGGGGCTGCGGTGACTTGTCAGCGGCGGTTCTCGGTGACACACCCTGGAACCAGAGAGGAGGGAACCCGATTCCTCGTGGGGCAGCACTATTCCACCTTCAGCCATGGGTGCATGAATCAGTGCACAGGGCTACTAGTGTACAATAAATCAACATGAGAAAACAACAATTTTCATAAAAAATTAAAAAACTAAAGAAACTTACCTGCACACCACCTGCACTTCCCCAAACCCTGAAGTTTTGGAACAGGGTGGGGCCAGTGTCATTGTCCCAAGGTGGCTGAAACTTAGGGTAGACAAAGAGTCCATATCTAGAAAGTGAAACAAAGAGTGGAATTTAGTCAGTTTCTGTGTTTCAAGCACCCTACTTTTTTCTCATTGGAAAATATCAAAGTAAAAGTAATGAATAAATTCTCCCCCTTGCTAGGAAAGTGGATACTCTCCAACTTTTGTTCTTTTCCCAGAAGTGCCTTCCCATTTTAGGGTTCTGTGTACTTTCTTCCCTCATATCCCAGAACTGATGAGAGCTGCTAGATAGAAACTTCATAATCTTAATGATAATTTCATGACACGTGTACTAATCCTTGCCTCAGCTTTAACATGGCGTAACAATTGTTCTTAATCCTTCTCATTTTCCATTATAGCACTATTCCTATCCTATTATCATCATAAGTATTTATAGCTTTCAACTATTGAATTCCTACTGTATTCCAGGTGTTCTCTTAGGTGCACTGCATAAGCTCTAATGGGCACATCCAACTTCCAATGTAGATATGTTTCCATTTTACAAATAAGGGATCTGACTCTAAAAAATAAATAAATAAATAAGCAATTCAGTAGGAGTAAAGTCAGGATTTGAATCAGGGTCTGGCTGACTGAAGTTCGTATTTTTCCCAGGATTCTCAAATTCCCTACTCTACCTTGTTTCCCATGCCTTTGACCTTAGTGGATGACATTACCCTCTACATAACAAAGACTTTGGACAGTTCCTTCTCATCTCACAGTGTGCCAGTAACAAATGAAGAGCCTCTTCTCCAAGAGCCTCTTCCCACTCAGTTCCTGAGCCCAGGCACTCGAGCCTCCCAGGGGCTCTGTGTTACCAGCTGCTTCTTATCTCTTGGAAGTTTAATTACTCTCTCTACTGAATTCTCCTCTGGCCACAAAAGGTGCATTTTGTGTTGCTGCCCTCTTAAGTGACTTCCTTCTCCATTTTCCTCCCTTCACCACCAAACTCGTATGATCCAAAATGGTCTACAGCTGCATCATCAAATCACATATGAATGTTAAGTTATTCCCTCTCAGGAGTTTTGTACAAAAAAAATACTAAACCATAAGCCTTATACCCAATATGTAGATTAATTTCCCTAAAGTTACCTTGTACAAGAATGTGCAATATTCCCAGTGAAGGAGAGAAGTGGAGCTTGTGAAGTTTGGTTGGTCACAAGATGGAAAAAGTAGCCAAAACCAGCATCACACACTGTGTTTCCCTAGGGAAATTAAGGATAATTAAATAATAGTTACTACACATACAACAAAGTTAGTGGAAATAAAGTCTCATATACCTGCTCATCCTGATTTTTCTTTCACTTCCTGCCAAAGTATGTTAACCTTTTATGGACTCATTTACTCTTTACTCACCCATTCCCCATACTCTCCCAGGAAACAAAAATGTTCTCATTCCTCTTCTTCCAACTAGACTGTAATTTGCCCACCTCAATAACTGGACTCTTAGGTTAAAGTGGAAACGTCCAGTGAGAAACTTAATTACATAATCTAATCCAAGCTCTTTGGTGTATGCAAGCATATACATGTTCCACCAGGAACACCAACACGTGTGGGTGCACACACGCTCACACACAATGCACATAGAACCAATCAAAGTCAATATGGAAGAAAAAAATGAAATAAATTGTTTAAAAACCACCAGTACTCAACTCATGCCTCGTGCAAGAGGGGGAACCAATACCCCAATGCTCCAATCCCTGGAGGTTGCCAGTCTCTGGGGAAGTGTGGGTAAGGCCAGCACTAAGACTGGAAGCCTGGCCAGCAGGCACCAGCCAGGACCTGATGGGGTAGCCAGCACTTCCTGACATAATCAACAATGCTGTTTCCTTCGCTTTAGCTGTTTTTCAGCGTGGGTCCCAAGGCTTTCTCACCCTGATATTTGTAGTTAGCCAGTCACTCCTCATTTTCCACTCAGTTATGGAACTATTTTCTTCCTCTGTGGACAAGGGACCCATTCCCTTCTGGATTCTGAACATTTCCCCAATTTTGAGGCCATTTTAAATTCTAAACACATTTCATCTACCACATTGTATTCAGCAAAAGTGACTTTTGGGTACCATTGAATGTGAAGGTGAATTACTATCGAAGATGCTAATGTGACTTCAAGGAACCAGGGCCATTGCTAAGACTCCACTCACCTTGAGGTGGCATAGTCTAGAGTGGTGGCTGTCAATTGGATGATTTTATTCCTCAGGGAGCATTTGGAAGCCTCTAAAGACATTTTTGGTGGTCACAACTCAGGTAGAGGGATGCTATTGGCGTTCAGTGAGTTGTGACCAGGGCAGCCTCTCACAACAAAGAATTACATGACCCAAAATGGTGCTACTGCCACAGTGGAGAAACCCTGGTCTACAGTCTAGACTGGAAGTATGTACTCTCAAAATAATTCACACCTACTTTCTAGTATCCCATCTCCAAATTTTGATGGAAATACCAACCTAAATATAAAATCATGGTAAATTACAGTAAGAATGCTTTGGCAATCTTTACCAGGAGGATATTAATATCTTTTCTTTTTTAAAATGTATCTTTATTGTTGAAAGTATTACATATGTCCCCCTTTTTCCTCATTGACCCCCTCAACCCCACCCCCAGGCCCTCACCACACTTTTGTCTGTGTCCATGGGTTATACTAGTACATATATGCATATAAGTTCTTTGGTTAATCTCTTCCTGCCCCCCTCCTGTCCCCATTCCCTCTAAGATTCGTCAGTCTGTTCCATGCTTCTATTTTTCTGGATCTATTTTGTTCATCAGTTTATTTTGTTCATTAGACTCCACATATGAGTGAGATCATGTAATACTTGTCTTTCTCTGATTGACTTATTTCACTTAGCATAAAGACTCCACAGAAAGAGACACTAAAAAAACAATTCCACTGCAACAAAAATATAGGATATTAATATCCTTTCAAACAACCAAATCCAGGCATTCTTTTTATCTCAATTCTTCCCTCATGCTAGAAAAGAGGACACGCACTCATGATTCTTGGCTTCGGGAAGACTTGCTGTCACTAGGTTGGCAAATACAAGTGCCCAATGTATCTCTCAAGCCCTCATAGGTACATAAGGAAGTAACATAGCTGTTGATTTTCAGTTATGATTATACAACTGGCAACTTCCTCATGAAATTACAAACAAAGCTCCACCCTCCACAGAGCCAGTGTCAAGTGGCTGTGTCTCTGCCATACCTATGAGCCATGGGAAAGGCCTGAGTACATAAAAATTGAGGAATAGGAAATGGGGGCTTCTTAAACACCACCTTTTCTGTAAGTACTTCAACAATGAGGCAGGTGCACTAGAGGCTGCAAGTAATGATCTCCCTCGGACATACACCTCTATCTCATTACCAGTGAAATGCTAGTTCATGGCTCAGACTTACCCAGAAGGGCCAAGATTCAAACATTTAAAGAATCTTTTGCAAGGGCTACATCCTTATTCATCACCTTTGCCAGACAAGTGCACACAGCGCGCCTATTTTGAGCAAATGAATAGATTTGTTGCATCATCTGCCCTAGTGTCATTAGTATTTACGCAGCATCTGGGTGATCGTATGTAATGCTTTCCAAGTACATTCATAGATGGGCAGGATATTCCAACTTCAGTCTTCTGTGAGCCGAGAAAGAGCAGTTTTCTTAGAAAAGAAGCACTTGAACAGTCGGATCACATTGCTTCCCAGCCCTTTTCACTCTCCATTGCAATTGGGTATGCTACAAATGATTCATGAGGAAATCCACATATTTATGCAGGCAGCCGGCGGCTTGTGGGGAAGGGTTTAAGGCAAGCAGGGAATTTTGTGTGGAAATCAATTTTTTGCGGAAGTCGCTGTATTATGGACATTCAAGCAAGAGAAATTCCAGAGAGAAATTAACTGCTCAAGTAAGCCAGCTCCTTGAGGTGTGTATCTATAGTTACTAGGAAAAAAAAGTGAGTTAACCCTTCAGGCAGCTCTTAAATATACATTAGCTATTGAGTGCGGAGAGTGAGAGAACTGAAACTGGGCCTTTAAATACAGAATTCCTTACAAAATTGATTCACAAACCAGAACAAATCCCCCTCAAATTAAATGGGTGTTTCCAAAGGGTTTGTTTTCAGGGTTTTCCTGTGGGATATCCTAAACAAGAGTCTGGTCATAGGAAATTTCCAACATCGCCATAAGCATGGGTACTTGGAGCTCTGGAGGTAAGCTGACTCTCTCTAGCCTGAGGTTGACCACAGAGCTGGAGCCTTGGGGCAGATAACAAGAAACCCTAGAAGGAGTCGAAGATGCAGATGCTGGAGCTGTCAAGGGAAGGCAGCTGGAAACGGAGTGTTCCAAGAGCCACAGGTGGGGCATGTGGAACCACCACCAAACCATTTCTGGAAAGCACAAAAAAGGCCCGTCTAAGGAGTGGACAGAGGAATATCACAAGTCCCCTGGAGACTCAGGAATATCACACTTGAGTCTCACTAGCAAGAAAGCACACAGCTCAGGTTTTGCTTCCCCCTGGACTTGGTGTAGCTGCAGCCTGGCAGGGAAGCAGGGAGACCACTTGTGGCTATGAAAACTAAAAAGGAATATCACACTTGAAATTCCCTTGTACCACACAGGGTTAAAGGGGAGTCAACTGTAAAGATGACTGCTTGACCATCAAGGAAAATTCTGTGTGCTGTGGCTATGTGTTTGTTCCTAGATTCTGGGAATAATATCCGACCACAAACCTATTGCAGAGACTTAAGAATTAACTCTGTTTGTTCACTGCCTGCCCACCAGGCCAGATATTTCAAAGTCAGACTCATGTATGTGGGAGAGAGTTCAGGCTTTCAGGGTTGGTTGCCCAGGCATTAGGAATAGGTTCATCTCTTCAAATCTAAACAAGGGCTTTAGTTTAGTTGATCGTATTGTCCCATATCAATTTCTTGATTTTGTTATTGATCTATGGTGATGGTCACGGTTACATTATCATTGGGGGGAAACTGGGTGAAGGTCACGCATGAGTGCCGTGTTGTATTTCTGCACCTTTTTAATGAAGATAAAATTATTTCAGAATTGGAAGTTTAAAATAGAAAACCCTAATTAATGACAGTAATACCTAGCTTTTAAAAAAATATTTTGCCAGACTTTAAGAAGCTGAAAAACAAGACAGGAGGAGGGGTAAAATAACTCTAAGCACACATAAGGCTTGACTGCATTCTCTTAAGGGTCAGTGTGACTCTAATCCCCTCACAGAGAGGAACATAAACTCACCACCCATACAACATTTCCTCAGAACAAAGAATGCCCCTTCGCTATCAGAATAACCATGGAAGAAGGTAGTATTGTTATACCACATCTCTTTATGTTCCACATATCTCACACACACACACACACACACACACACACACACCCCACATTGTGCTGTTATGATAGCCTATTATTATCCCTTTGGAATAAAGGTGTATTTCTAAAATATATTTTAATGTACTCTCTGTATTTTCCACATAGGGCACACTTAGTAAATACTAACTTACTGTTTGCTCAATAACTACAATGACCTTCATTGGCCCGAAAGGTCAACAGAAGTGCATAACTTTTAGGTGTTGCCATGTATGTCAAGTTATCAACTATGTCCTTGGTAATAGCTCATTCCAGACAAAAGAATACAAAAGAGACAGCATAACAGAATACCAGTGGCACAGCTGAGAAACTGGAATGGACTGTGAAGCATTTAACACTGAGACATGAGTCCCACAGGGTTTAAATGTTGCCACAGATTAAACGTCTTATTTTTCAGACATCAAAATGATTGTGGGATCTTGGAATCTATTCCTGACTTTCCTCTCTCTTCCCCCCTCACTCTTTGATAATGTAATTATACCTGTATTCATTCATCCATTCATTCATTCATTATATTTAATTCATTTGTATTGAGTAACTATTGTGTTTCAAACTTTGTGTTGGAGTCTAAAAGCTAATAAGCTAATGAAAAGAGAACTACAGAATTTTAAGCTCATTGAAGAAAATGTCAGGAACACACCTGATGACTATACTTAATCAATCTACACCTCCGGTTTAAACTGAAACCTCATTCTCAAAATATGTGCATTATACTTTTTTAAATTTTGTAAAGTGGACATAAGAGAATGAAAGTAAAGGAATGGAAATGAAAGTCATTCAATTGAGAACTAACAACTTGTTTTGCCTAAGTTTTTCTATTGCTGACGGAGCATTGTTTCACAGTGTAGACCGCAAACACTCAGGGGACCTATCAGCTTTTCAGATGGCCCTCTAGCTCTCTGCACCTATAGACCTATAGCCAGTTCAGTTCTTCTTGGGGTTGACTAGTGGTCAAGACACCTGTCCAGGAGACTACCTACTACTCAATGAAGCAAAGTCAAATGGACAGAACGCCTGGCATTCAATACAGGATTTCGATACATTCCAGCTTATCCAAGAAGATGAGCTGGGAAACCCTGAGAGTCTTCACCTCTAGATATTTTAATGCAGTCAAGATACTACTACCCAAGAAAGTATGCAGAAATGTAGTTCTTTAGGCTCCAAAGTTTGCTGCCGTAGCTGCTCAACCAGACCTGTAATCACCAACAAGTTAAATGCTGCTCTAATTGCTTTGGGTCTAAAGTTTGGTTTCCTTCAACCCATGCAGTTCTGCGTCCTTTCTAGCTGGCATATTAGCTGCCCCCATTAGGTACCTAAAATGGTGTGTAAGTGCTGTGCTTGGGGGAGAAACCAAGATGGCGGCATAGGTAAACACCGGAGTTTGCTGCCTCGAACAACCACTTCAAAAATACAACTAAAAGACGGAACGGACATCACCCAGAACCACGGGAAGGCTGGCTGAGGAGAGTCTCTTCAACTAGAAGCAAAAACAACAGCATTCCGACGCTCAGCGGAGGCGCAATGTGGAAAATTTAAAGGTACGGCGGTGCGGTGGTGAGGGTGCGCGCGCAAAGCGGGCTGGCGGCTGAGGGCGCGATTGTCGTTTTCAATCAGGAGCGAGTCTCAGACTCTGGGCTACAGATCCGGGCGAGTCTCTAGGGACCCAGACTCAAACGGGAGAAGCGGGACTGTCTGGCTACAGCCCCTCCGAGGTTTGCAGCGATTGCTGGGACAGAGAGGCAGAGCCCCTGGGGACGGACTGAGAGCGGCCATAGCTGCTCCCTCCCCCCGCCCTGTTGAGCCCGCCCCGCCCAAACCCTGCGCACAGCCATTTGCCGATCGCCTCAGGCAAGGGCTGGACTAGCGCCTCCCCAGAGGACTGAAGTTATCCCACAGCTGATTCCTACAGCCAGTCGGCCTGGTGGTCAAATCCCTCTAGTGTTAACTACAACAATTAAGGCTTGGCTAGAACAAGACTGCGCACAGAGACCACAAGGGGGTGCACCAAGAAAGCATATAAGATGCGGAGACAATAAAACATGACAGAAATGGAGGATATGGAGCTAAGAATCGCAATTTTGAGGGCTTGCCATAAATTTGTGCAGAGCCTCACGAAAACTAATGAGACCCTCGATGCTACGATAAAGAAATTAGAAAGTAAGCATACACGGACTGAAATAAAGAATATTATACCCAATAGCAGACCAGAGGAGCACAAGAATCAAACCAAAGATTCGACAAAAAACACCCAATTGGAAAAGCAAAATGAAAAAAGAATCCGAAAGTGTGAAGATAGTGTAAGGAGCCTCTGGGACAGCTTTAAGCGGTCTAATATCAGAATTATTGGAGTGCCAGAAGATGAGAGACAGCAAGATATTGAAAACCTATTTCAAGAAATAATGGCAGAAAACTTCCCCCACCTGGAGAAAGAAATGGACTTACAGGTCCAAGAAGCGCAGAGAACCCCAAACAAAAGGAATCCAAAGAGGACCACACCAAGACACATCATCATTAAAATGCCAAGAGCAAAAGACAAAGAGAAAATCTTAAAAGCAGCAAGAGAAAGAGGCTCAATTTACCTACAAGGGAATACCCATACGACTGTCAGCTGATTTCTCAACAGAAACTTTGCAGGCCAGAAGGGAATGGGCAAGAAATATTCAAAGTGCTGAATACCAAGAACCTACAACCAAGATTACTTTTATCCAGCAAAGCTATCATTCAGAATTGAAGGTCAGATAAAGAGCTTCACAGATAAGGAAAAGCTAAAGGAGTTCATCACCGCCAAACCAGTATTATATGAAATGCTGAAAGGTATCCTTTAAGAAGAGGAAGAAGAAGAAAAAGGTAAAGATACAAATAATGAACAACAAATATGCATCTATCAACAAATGAATCTAAGAATCAAGTGAATAAATAACCTGATGTACAGAATGAACTGGTGACTATAATGAATCAGGGACATAGAAAGGGAATGGACTGACTATTCTTGGGGGAAAAGGGGTGTGGGAGATGCGGGAAGTGACTGGACAAAAATCATGCACCTATGGATGAACTCAGTGGGTGGGGAGTGAGGGTGGAGGGTGGGGTGGGAGCTGGAAGGAGGGGAGTTATGGGGGGAAAAAAGAGGAACAAATGTAATAATCTGAACAATAAAGATTTAAAAAAAAAAAAGTGCTGTGCTTGGGGAAAAAATGTAATGAAGAGTCTGGAGGAGGGGTTGTGGAGATAACCATGACTTTTTTTAGGGGTTATTCAGCTTAAAGTAATTGAAAACAGATGATCAGAGAGAGACAGAGGCATTCATCTCTCAGTTCCTCAGAAACCTGGCATAATTGTGATGATACAGTAGAGGCTCAGAGGAGTGTCCTGGAAGAGTGGGATACCCATGGGATAAAATCATTGGAAACGGGGAAACTAAATGTCCTTCCCACTACTCTGACACAATTCCTCATTCATAGACTCTTGGTTAAGCTGTACTAGAAAATTTAACTTATTAACATGTTTAGAGAGAAATGAGAAATTTATCAAAAAGTAATAAGTTGCACTAAGTAATGGGATAAAAAATCTAGTCCATCAGAGTACACTTCATTCATCCTAGAATCTGACATGCCTCCTACACCTCCTGACTTCACTGACCCTCAGTTTTGAACATTCTTAAAGGGCAATAATATGACCATATGAGTATCGTAAGATAGTAAAGATTAAATAGGTAATTAATACTGGAATTGAGACAAAAAGTGGCACCCCCGCATATAGCTCAGGAAGGTATGTTAGTTTGTATTAATTTAAGTAACCAGAAAAGAATCAGTATCTACTTTGCTTGATCCATATAGATATTGCTTCAAAGAGCATTCACAGGACTCTGAGAAATGATTACAGTTATCCTAAAGCACTTGTTTAACACAAAATCATAGTTTCTGAATACCAATATGCAGCAAGTAAACATTTTACCACACCATACCATTGATGACACAACTGCAAATAACTTACCTCTACAACATTGGTGGGGTTGCGGATATAGACACCAGATGGTGTCAACATTTCAGGACTGGAGAGTCCCTCAGCACCAGAAACACTGATGATCACATTGTTTCTTACTGTATTTCCTTGTTCTGACCTGTCTAATTTAAGAAAAGATAAATTAAAGCATTGCAACTCAGAAACATAATTGAAAGTTATATAAACCAACACTCATATTTCTATTAGTACACATTATAATTTACATATATGCACATATACTCATATATAACCTAGAGGCCCGGTACACAGATTCATGCACTGGTGGGGTCCCTTGGCCTGGCCTGCAGGGATCGGGCCGAAACTGGCTCTCCAACATCCCCCCAGGGGGTCTGCGAGAGGGCAGTTCTCAGGTGACACATCCCAGAATCGGGCTCCCTCCTCTCTGGTTCCGGGTGCATCACCAGAGAACCGCAGCTGCCAAGTCACTGCAGCTCAGCAGCTCCTGCGTTGAGCATCTGCCCCCTGATGGTCAGTGAGCATCATAGCTACCAGTTGGAGTGTCTGCACCCTGGTGGTCATTGCGTGTCATAGCTACTGGTCAGCCAGTAGGCCAGTCGCTTAGGCGTTTATATATAGATACAAAACATTTATTATATTCAACGAATTTAAGCTATCTAGCATTCTTCTATCAGGCCTGTCTATAAAATATACGACAACTTAAATGGATTGTAATAAATTTTAAACCACTTTACAAATTTACCATTTTTCCTTCCAGGAATAGCCTCCCAAGGGATATATCTTGTCTCCACGTGTGTACCTAGGGACAAAAGATCATGTTACCTCAGTACATGTCAGGCCAGCCAAGAAAATGAGGGACAGTGCAATACTATTTCTTCTTTAGGGTGTGGCTTGTTTTGATTTTGTTTTTGTGATTTAATCTATGAACCAAAGAGATACAGATTATATGGACTTTTCAGTTCTCGAGTATCATAGATCAGAAGTTCACTTAAAATTTTAAAAAGAACAAAGAAATAGACCTACTATTTTACTTCTTAGCAAGAGTCTAAGTGACTGTCTCCACAATTAAATGCCACATGCCCTTGTGTCAGCTCCAGACCCATCCCTGGCTGTTTAAAGGACCACCAGCTATCTACATGTCCTTCCCTTTCCCTGGAAGATCTGAAATATCCTGGAGAAACAGGCTGAAGAGGACCAGACAGGTGTGAGCTGGGACCCTCACACCCAGACCATAAAGATTTGAAATAGAACAAAATAAAAGCATGGACTATGCTACAGAGAGAAATAGATTAGCCACTTGAGTGGCATCAATAGAAAAAAGGCCCAAAGACACCCAGCCTCACAGACCCCCTCTTTTCTAGCTCTTTAGGTATTTGGGCTTCCTTGTCATTTATGAGTCTGGATCTGCAAACTGGTTTTGCATGAATTGAGTACTTTATCTATAAGGCATTATTCAATAAATATTCTAATTCCTTCACCTACACTACAATAGATATCAAGAGCAGCCAATTCACAATATCAAGCACTAAACACAAAATTCCTCCTGTAGGTTTTCTTCCTTGCCTAATTAATGGCTAATCCATATATTTGTTTTCTCCTAAGATAATATTGTTAGGGTTCCTTTCTGAATTTTTGCTCCAACTTTCAGCAAAGTTTTCCCTTACATGGATAAAAATGAAGATAAACAAAATTAATCCTCCATCTGTTGGTCTGACTGCTCTGTAGCTGTCCTTTTTCAATTAAAAAATTCTCCTGCACGTGGTCACTTTTTTTTTGTCCAAAGCTCTTTGCCTTTTAGAGCTCGGATATGTTTTAAGGAAAGTTTATATGATCCATATTTTCTCTCTAAATAGTTTCCCTCTCAGGATTAGACCCTTTATAGCTTTTATCTTTAACAGATTGTTCTTAAATGAAACATGCACATTTTCCCACTAATGGTATCACAGAATTAATTTAAATATAAAACACTATTTAGCAACACAGTTCTAATTTTACTTTCAGTGAAAACCTCGATTTGCTTTTTTATTCTGATATAACCAAAGACTCTTCGTTCATTAATTCATTCATTTATTTCAACAAATATAGCTACTACACTCTAGTTAATGTGCTAAATGCTAAGGAAACAGTATTCACATGAAATATGATGGTAAAAACAGATATTAATTTGATTATTTGAAACATGATATATAATTTTTAATCTATCAATAATTATTGGTGCTAAAAGAACTTAAACACAGAACCTTGCAAAGAAGAATAATTCATATGAATAGAAGGGGGGGAGCTTGTGCAAAGGTCCTGAGGCAGCAGAAAGTGTAGCCTTTGGAAAGAATTAGAATAAAATAGATCAGTGTAGCTAAAGTAGAGAGAGAAAAAGGTCAAGACAAGAGGCAAAATCAGGCAGGGAGTCCTTTAAGCTAGGTTAAGGATTTTGGATTATATTCTAATGGCAATAAGACACTCTTAAATGGTTTTAAGGAGAGAAGTGATATAATGCAATTTGAGATTTTAAACCATAATTCTGTGTTCTGCAAGGGGAATAAATTTAAGAAGAAAAAAAGTGGATATAGGTGACCAGTTAGAAGGTTTTGAAACATGGGCTTCTTCAGCAAATCACAGGAGCAACTAAGAACAGAATTCAAGATTTTTAACTCCTTGTCCATCATCCAGACTTGAAATTCCATGAGATGCTACAAAAATATATTTATATGACGTATTTATTTGAATTTATTGTGAAAATTGCTGACAGTAAGTCTTAAAACTGCTCATTGTATAATTACTAACCTGTACTAAAATATCACCTTTAAATGATATGTTTTCTATTGGTAAAGCTTAGTTAGCCAATCACTAATAACTAAATTTAGAATTTTTAACTATGACTTTTTAGAACATTTAATTATGGCTTATTTCTAATGAGCAAAGGCTAAAGTTTTTATAAATTGGAAATTCAAACTTTGCGATAATTCCTTTTGAAATACTGTGTGTCTCAAAAATACCAAATTTAACAAGCTCATTTCACTTACCCACCAGCAGTGCGTGGCCTAAAATATCGTAGAACACATTACTGTCCACCTTCAGGCCCAAGGTCCCGGACATGCTGAGGCCTCGGCTGAAGGAGCCCCACACAGTGCAGCCCTGTATGTAGGAATCTGAGTAGCGAAGAGTAAGGTAACAATTAGAAGGGAATCTGAAAGGCTCCTCAGATTTAGATCTCTTTGGAGATCATTTCCAAAGCAAGCTATAATATAACTAAGAACATTCTCCTACACAATGATGAAACTCGGGAAATGAGGATTTGGAATTAGAAATCAAATTTTAAAAATGGGCAACTCTACAAGAATAAGCAGGGTAAAATCCAAGGGTCAGATGTGAGAAAGAAGACGGTATGGCCAAACCACAAAAGAGTGCAAGGCTGTCAAGATTTCCATTGGCCATCATCTTTGGTATTTACTTTCATCACAATATGGTGGACAGCAGCTAAAGAGAAATTAAGGGCCACATGAAGACTACTACTGTTATGGACCAACCCTGATCTTTCAAAATTGCATCTGGCATGAAGAGATGTAGTCATTATTTCTTGAGCTATGAAGTAATAACTTTTAACTTGCTGGGCAATAATATTTAACTTGTTGGCCTAAAGTTGCCAGAGAGCCTCTTTTAAAAAAATTAAATTTATATGGGTAACATTGGTAAATAACATTATATAATTTTCAGGTGTACACGATTATAAATTGACATCAGCAAAGCCAGAGGTTGACGTGAGGATCACAAGTCTCACAGTTGCATATGGTGGGTTTCTGAAGCTGAAGGGGTGGTACCCTAACTATGGTAAAACGAACTGGCATTTAGGAAACTCATCACAATGGCTCCATGGGTATATTTTATGGCCCCTAAATCAACTTATGTGAACTGGCTCAACAACGAATAAATATATATTTCAGGAACTGTGCATTGTGCTGGAGATATAAAGATGAATGAAACTAAATAAATTCAGTAAAGTGGTTTAGGGTCGACCTATGAACCGGGAGGTCCCAGTTCAATTCCCAGTTGTGGGCTCGATCCCCATTGTGGGGCATGCAGGAGGCAGCCAATCAGTGATTCTCTCTCATCATTGATGTTTCGGTCTCTTTCTCCCTCTCCCTTCCTCTCTGAAATCAATGAAATATATATTTTAAAAAATAATAAATTTTTCACTGTCTGATGGAGGAAACTCACATTAAAATAGTAAAAATATACCATTTGGATAAATAAATTATAAATTCTAGAAAAATGAGTTTTGTATTATTCTAGGTAGTGAGAGACATATCAATGTCAAATGTTAAGAATAAAGGTTACTTAGCCAATTAGAAAAACTACTTTGTTTAATGGAATAATTTGACTTTTAAATTGGGACTACCCAGAAAATTCTCAACTATAATGTCTCCATAGGTGGATGGTCTCCACCTTCCCTTTGAGCTCAGCTTCCCTGGTACCAGAGGGTCTCACATCACTCACCAAAAGTTAACCCATCATATCCACTTACGCAGAAAACTGTGCTGCTGCAGACTTTCCCTGACTCTAAATCACCATAACATTGCTACATCTGAACAACCAGTAAGTACTAATGTGTTTATAGAGCTATTATGGGTTAAATTTGGGGATTGGTAAACCTTTAAAAGTAGCAAGCATGCAAGAATTCCAGCACCTTCTAACTCTAGTGGCTGGGGGCAATTGCCCAATGGGTCATGTGGGCCTTTGGGGGGTGAAACAATAAAAGATATTTGGCAAGCATGCCAAAAGTTTATAACCTGAGTTAATATGGTGTCCCTTCCTTGGACACACACTTGCATTTTAACAGAGACCTAAAGGGAATAATGTATTAACTTAGTGGTTTTTCAAACATTTTTTAATCACTGAACCTAGCCGATATAATAAAAGCCTAATATGCAAATTGTCCCCTTGGGAGTTCGACCAGGAGTTCGACTGCTCGCTATGATATGCACTGACCACCAGAGGGCCACGCAGAACATGGCAGGCGTCGGCGACACGGCGCTGTCAGTTGGCAGCAGTGGAGGTGCTGCCGGCCCTGATGGGCCCCGACAAGAGCAGGACCTCGGTGGGATGGTGGAGCAGGTGAGTGGGTGGCACCAGGCCAAGGCAGGGTGCCAGGTGGGGCTGCGGGGCTGTGAGGCTGGGGATGCAAGCTGGGACTGCAAGCCTAGGGGCACAAGCTGGGGCCCGATCCCCATGGGCCACCCCAAGAGACCCCACCCATGCTCGAATTCATGCACCAGGCCTCTAATTTTCAAATAAAACCTAATATATAAAAATAAATACATGTGCCCTAACTGGTTTGGCTCAGTGGATAGAGCGTCGGCCTGCGGACTGAATGGTCCCAGGTTCGATTCGGCCAAGGGCATGTACCTTGGTTGCGGGCACATCCCCGATAGGGGGTGTGCAGGAGGCAGCTGATCGATGTTTCTCTCTCATTGATGTTTCTAACTCTCTATCCTTCTCCCTTCCTCTCTGTAAAAAATCCATAAAATATATTTTAAAAATAAATAAATAAATAAATAAATAAATAAATAAATACATGTGCAGCTACTCTGAAGCAGAGGTTAGAGAAGGCAGATTAAGTACATTTTTTAGCAACGGGGGTTTTAATTACGTGCAATTTATAACACATATGTGACTGCTATCCTCGTTTATATTGGAGCTGGCCCCCACATCAAATATTCTGCATCCTTATAAGCACCAGGAGACCAAAAAAGAGAGAGAGAGCGAAGGGCACAAAGATACTGATCATTCGTTCAGATGTACTAGGGAAATAGCCATGTTAGGAATCATACCCGTAAGTGAATGACAAAAATAAATAAATAAGGTAGAAGAGAAAATTTAGAATAAATTAGGACATTAGAATAAATAGACATTCTTAGCATCCAAGTTGATTTGAAATTAGAAAAAAAATGCTGCTATTGGTTAGCCAGGATTCTGCCTTCAATGACCTTAAAGATTACTCTGTCATTGTCTGTTGAAATCCTAGCATTTTTTTTAACCCTAGTATTTTTAATGTTCTTTGTCAGGCACCACCCCCAGAGCACCTCCCTTTCCAAGGAAGGCAAAGCTTGAATGTTGGGTCTTGGAGGTGCTAAGCTTGAATGTTGGGTCTTGGAGGTGCTAAGGGGTGGGGAGGATAGCTCAGAAATGAAGCTTCTGTCCTGACTCTGCATGTCAGCTTCTGGCACTGGGCTTTTGTCCTGGATGCTCCAATTTTGGTTTCAGAACCTTCATCAGTACATGTGACAATATTCTTCTTTTCTGGTTCTAATCTTGTTTTTCACTTAGTGATTCCCACCTTCATTTGATTTTTCCTGTTCCCTTTCTATCTCTTCAGCTCTGGCCAACATCTGCACACTCTGTCTGCTCTATGTTCCCAGGAAAAGCACCTTGTTCTCAGCCCATTCTCCCCTATTTTTCTAGGAAGAAGATTCCTCGAGTTAGTACAACTTCACAGGGAATTGCTCCCTGCTGTGCTGGACTGCCACAGTGTTGATGATTTACACTATTCAATGTCAATATGCCTGTAGTTGCAGGTTTACAAAGTGGATCGTGCAGTTCACTCCACATCTGTTGTACCTATAGTCATGTTTCTCAAAGTATATTCCTTGGAACACTTGTTCCAGAATCATTATGAAAAATTCAGATTCCCAGGGCCACCTCAGACCAGAATTTGTCTTGATAGGCTCCATAATGCTGAATTTTAATAAGCTCCTCAAGGGATTTTTTTAGGCATACTAAAGTTTGAGAAACATAGATCTAGAGTATAATTATCCATCTCTGACCCCCCACATTCACATATCACCTATCATTACCCTTGGCATGTAGTGCCTTGAACATGGGATAAGAAATGAAAATGAGAAGTCATAGACCTAGCCCCCTTACCTCTCATAGCTCCCACCAGAGTCAGAGAGCTCAGATGCTTTTGGAAGGCTTGCCCCAAGTTCCGGAACTGCACTCCCTGCAACTGTACCCGGCTGGGCTCCTCTGGGACCGACTGAATAATGATTCTGGCCCCCAGGTCCCTGGATCCCAGCATCTTCTCACTCTTGGAATACAAACAGTGCTGCAAATTACCTGAAATACAGAATGCAGTGTGACACATATAGGCCTATCTCCCAGTTTGAAAGACAAAGCATTATTGCCTATTTCATTTAATAATGTTATTTTCCTTTTACTTTGATTCTCCTTTTTTAATTATTAATTAAAACATCCAATAACTAGGACACAATGTTGCCTTCACTCTATTATTCCAGAAGCCCCCAACCCCAAATCAATTACCTTAATTACTGTCACAAAGAGGCTGACTGTGGCCCACAAATTCAACCAAAATAGGTATTTATTTCAACCCAAAAGACCAGCTGGAGGAAGTGTGTAATAAAATGACCTTCTCGTGGTTTATAACTGTAGGGAACAAGATGTAAATGCTGAATGTAATTGTGGCTCTTTTTAGTCTTAAACTGTCCAATGGGCTTCCCATTTACTCTGCTGCTTTCTAGTTTGGTGACAACACTAATGCCACTGAAGAAATAGCCAAGGGCTCCAGCCCCTGCACCAATACCTCCTTCCCAGAGAGGACAGCAAATTGCATGGATGTAGTACACACAGATACCATTGCTACAAAGTGTGGTCACCTCAGGGTCCAGGACTCTTTCTGTTGACACATGGCATGTGGTGCTGTGAACTAAAAATCCATCTCCTGAATTGATTCTTTATTGTCCATGTTAACAAACCAAAGCAGAAGTGCTACTAATACAAAATGATGTACCAATCCACAGTAAATAATCCATAGCAAATTACAAAGTCCTGTCACTCGTTAGCACCCAGAGAATAAATATATAAGAGGTGAATAAAGAGCTGTTTTATATGCTTATGATTTATCACAATTTTTTATATATTTTATTGATTTTTTTTACAGAGAGGAAGGGAGAGGGATAGAGAATTAGAAACATTGATGAGAAACATCGATCAGCTGCCTCCTGCACACCCTGCACTGGGTATGTGCCCACAACCAAGATACATGCCCTTGACCGGAATCGAACCTGGGACCCTTGAGTCCACAGGCCAATGCTCTATCCACTGAGCCAAACTGGTTAGGGCAATTTATCTCAATTTTGACGATGTTAGTGGTCCCTAAAACATTTAAGTGGTCAGGATTCATATTATTGTGTTTAGCTACCTCATTCCCACATGTCAGTTCCACAGAAAGAAGAGGTGAGTGACATATGTTTTTAGTGAAGCTATGAATTCTGCTTTACTTTGAGAATTTTGTAGTAATGATAAAGAGTTATGCTGAAATCAGGGATTTTTTTTCCCATTCGAAGCTAACAGCTTTATCATGACCTAAACCCAGATGCATGGTCTCACTTGCAGGATGATCAAATGCAATGTTTTGCACAATTTTATCTGAAAATACCTGCATGAGAAATCCTACAGTGTTTTAAAAGAATTCAGATCTCAATTCAGCAGAATTATTAAAGTTGGCAGTCAATGGATTCTAACCCACTGCATCCAAACATTTTTCGGAATGACACATTTGTGAGCTAGAAGACTGAGGTGGTGGGGAGGTAGGGTCTATGTCCCTCCCTCCTGACCACATCCTAACGTTATAGCCACCTGTGTCTATATGTAGATGTGACTCAAATTTTTAACTCCATCTGACATTTCTTCCAGGCTCCGGACACTACCAGATATCTCAACTCTGATGCTGGCCTGGCATCTCAGTCTCGACATGAACAAAATGAAACTCATGAGTTCCACCCTCCCACCCCAAAATCTGTTCCTCTTCCCAACTCAATAAATAGCCTCATCATCCATCCAGGATGCATGCCTGGGAGTCATCCTTGACACCCACACCATCCTGGACCAAATTTGACGAATGATATCTTCACAACATGTGAAAGCCTCGTAATCTACAGCCTGAGAAACCAAAACATAACCTACTAAACTAGCCATCCCTGAAATAGATGTTTAATAGGCACATCAGTGTGATCCAGTGCCTGTTATTCTTCTAGAAGATAAATTGACTTTTTAACCACTTACTTAAAGTATGTGGTAGTTCACTCAGAAAACAAACTCCAAAAGTGGAGGTGGAGGGGAGGGAAGAGGCCAACAAGCCTAATCAGTAAGAATGTGCTGCCTGCATTCCTGACTTGGGCATTGAGCAGTTTTCCTGAGAATTTTAGAAAGTGCTTGGAATCAGAGTTAAGACTACAATATAACCGCAAACCTCAAAATTTAATTCAACTCTCCAGATTTAATTATTTAACATTTTGCTTTCCAAAAGAAATAGTTCATTACTCAAGTCAATAATGTTGTCTACCTCTTTCACGAGGTTGTCGAGGGCAAGAAATCAATTTATCAAGAGCATTGTGAAAACTATAGAATATTATGCACATGTAAAGGTTAAAGGTTTATTCTATTTTGAAAGAAGTCAATAATGCTACATATCATTCAACAGTAAGAACGTTCTTTTTCACTCATTGGACCTCCCAACCAAATACTTCTCTACCTTCTGAAGTGTTAGCCTCCTGGCATGAAGCAAGGAACTTTGTCCTCTCACTGGTGAGATTTCCTTGTATGATAATCCTCCTGCTGAGCAGGGCCACTGTGGCCTTTAGAATATGGTGTTCTCCAGCTACCCAATTCTCTGTGAAGTTGTGAGAATATCTTTCAAAAAAAGAAAGAAAAAAAAGACACATCTGTAGACACCACTCTGAATCTTATCAGGAATAGTAAGCTACTAGATTCACATAATACCCTATGTGGGGGTCTATTTCTTTTGAAACTCAAATACAAAAGAGTGAACTATTGGCACTAGTAAGTGATAATTAGGAAACTATGATGACTATTGCTCTGACCACCTAACATGGGAGTTCTAGAGTTTTACAAGAAAAACTTATTAAAGAAATCTAAATCTTCAAAACATCACATGCTTTATAATTTTTCTTGTCAAAACACCTAACATTACTTAATTAAAAAGACATCATTGAAAGACAAAAAAAATGTACAGACACCAGCACAGTTAAGACCTCATCTTCTTCCATCTAAATGGACCCAAGTTGTCACTCAGTACCTCAAGGGTGATCTCAGATACAGGTCTGCATTGTGCACAGTTTCCACAACGACAATCTCTTCCATGGGTCTGGCACCTTCAACACCCATTCCACTGATGATGACAACTTCATCCCCAGAGTGCCAGTCCACAGCATCTTCTAGAGCCAACACTGTGTCACGGGCAGAGGCAGCTGCTCGAAGATGAGTGACAATTACTTCTGGTAGTGAACCTAAAGCAGTGGGAGGAAAATGTGCCTTCAGACATTCAAATAGTTAATACAAATGTGGTATTACTCAGCCAAAGGATCCTGTGAACAAATAACCTGGGAAAGTAAATTTCAGGCTCAATAAGCACCAATGCCTTCACTTTTTCATTGTTGTTGTTGTTGTTGTTTTTTAATCTGTCACATGGCAGCAATAAAAGTAATCCAGGATTGAGAATGGCATGATACAAAAAACACAGGAATTGGAGTCAGACTTACAACTGAATCACAGTATTGCCATATTCTAACCATGTTTCTTTGGGTAATAAACTCAACAGTGGGCTTCAGTTTCCTCAGTAATAAAGCAGTAGTAGCAAGGTCTTCCCCCATAGGGTTTTAAGAGGATTAAATAACACAATATTCATGAAACATGTGGTTTGGACCTTATCACATAATAGACCCTCAATACTCTGTGCTTTGAGTATGTAATTTTACCACCTATTTCTTATTCCAAATAAAAACAGAAAGCTATTCATACTGAATTTCTAATCGGAAGACTTCAGCTCACTTGACAAATAGTGTTAGTAGAGTACAAAGTCAAAATTATCTCAGATTGTCCTGAACCATGTCGTATTAAATGATCTTTTCAAACTCTAAAATTGGGTGGGTTCCACAGAGGACTGCTATGCGAAATTGAAGGGTAGCTTGTGTCTCTAGGTACCTTGGTTTCAGTTGGAGTCCACAGCATCCATCTGATCCTCCGATGCCAGTAGGCTATTCCTTCACTGTCAAAGATTCAAGAAGGTAGTCTGTCTTCCAGTTTACTCTGGCCTTTTCCAGCAAGGGTCATGGCAAAAAATTTTTTCAAGACATTATCTGAAGCAATACTTCAGAAAATACATGGCTAACTCCCAACTCCTTCTTCTTTCCTCAGTACATTTCCTTCCTCCTTTGCAATAGATCATAATTTACCTTTAGCCCTCAGCAACTTCCTGTCCTCCCCTATTGCACTACAGTAATATAATAATACTTGAATCTCTAACTACAGGGGTGGCCAACAATAAATCATTTTCAAATCATTTTAGATTTCCCTCTTTATTTATTTGTCTGTGTATGTATGGGCACTTGCACCAATAATGTTGTTTTAGGCTTAAAAAGGTCTCTGGGTTAATGATGTAATTTCTTAAGTTTACTTGGGCAATAATTTTATCTTAAAAAACATTTAGAGTTCAACATGTCTAATTATAGGGCAGGTAAAAATTAAGACATAAATCATCCCAAAAGAAAATAATTTTAACTTTGTTCCTTGTTTGTTTTAACCTTTGGGAACAACAAAATTAAATAAAGTTTATTTATATGTATATGCACATATATATGAATTTCTATGATTGGTTCTTCAATGTTTGCACAGGAAAATCTCTAAGGAGCAAAGAAAGTGTTTATCAAAGTCAAAATGCTATTAAAATCTGTGATCAATTGTTCATAATATTCAATATGCAACAAACACCTACTATGCACCTATCAACATGCAAGCTATTCATGGAAGAACCAAGAGTAGGGATAACAAAAATATTTCTCAATTAATCATTCTTAATCAAATAAATAAAAAAATCAGAGAATCTTTGAAGTGCATTTTTCATTATTAACATAAATTTATGTCCTTTCAAATGTTGACAGAGCCTCTATAATACAATAAAATTATTTCAGAATTTACTCACTCTCATAAAAAATATGACGAGAACATCAAACCTGCATGCTTCATGGTCGCCAGTTATATTTCTAGCTATGTAGGAGATAGCCATTATCATCATCTCAAATTTGAGAATGTCAAAATTATGATAATCAGCTGAGCTAGATTCTGTGCATCTAGCTTTTATTCTTCTGGCTATTCTGCATTATTTTTTAAACTTTGCTAAGATATTTTAATTACATCCCTTCTTTGTCACTTAACCTACAGCATCTGCCTGCAGTACTCAGGAACAAAGCACCAAATTCTCTTCCTGACTTTTAAGATTCTCCATAATTTTACTCTACTTTATGGTCTCTGACTCCTTAATTAAGTCTCCATTCCAGGAAGCCCAGTCTCATTACCTCCTGTCATTTGACAGGATCACTTCCATCTCTATCCCTTTGCCCATTCTGTTCCTTCTACCTGCGTGCCCAGCCTTCTTCATGTCACCTATTCTTCCGAAACACAAATCAAGCCCCACTTCTTCCACTGAATTTCAGGCAGCATTTCAGCCCATGCTTATGTCCACCTCCTCCCATAGACATTACAGTGCTGTGGTTCTTCCTTATGCAAAAGGCCCGTGTGCATATGAGATTTAGGCATGCCCAAGCATATCTGGCTAGTTTATGGGTCATTTGTGTGAGTTGTGTTATTAGCGCGGGAGAAGTGTACACGAGGAGCAGTTGAGAGAAGAAGATCACAGAGACAGCATGGGATCTGCCTCAGATACGGATTTTCGCTCCTGACCAAACGGACCACTGAACCTGAAGAAAAGAGCTGAAAGCCCTAACCGGTCTGGCTCAGTGGATAGAGCATTGGCCTGCAGACTGAGGGGTCCCAGGTTCGATTCCGATCAGGGGCACGTACCTTGGTTGCGGGCACATCCCCAGTAGAGAGTGTGCAGGAGGCAGCTGGTCGATGTTTCTCTCTCATCGATGTTCCTAACTCTCTATCCCTCTCCCTTCCTCTTTGTAAAAAATCAATAAAATATATTTTAAAAAGAAAGAAAGAAAAAAGAAAGAAAGAAAGAAAGAAAGAAAGAAAGAAAGAAAGAAAGAAAGAAAGAAAGAAAGACCTCTACTCAGAAAACTACAGGACATTGAAAAAAGAGATAGAGGAAGACATAAACAGATGGAAGAACATACCGTGTTCATGGATTGGTAGAATCAACATCATTAAAATGTCCATACTACCCAAAGCAATCTATAAATTCAATGCACTTCCCATCAAAATACCAACGGCATACTTCACAGATCTAGAACAAACTCTCCAAAAATTCATTTGGAATAAAAAAAGACCCCGAATAGCTGCAGCAATCCTGAGAAAGAAGAAAGTAGGTGGGATCTCAATACCAGATATCAAGATGTATTACAAAGCCACTGTTCTCAAAACTGCCTGGTACTGGCACAAGAACAGGCATATAGATCAATGGAATAGAATAGAGAACCCAGAAATCGGCCCAAACCAATTAGCTCAATTAATATTTGACAAAGGAGGAAAGAACATTCAATGGAGCCAAGATAGTCTCTTCAATAAGTGGTGTTGGGAAAATTGGACAGATATATGCAAGAAAATGAAACTAGACCACCAACTTACACCATACACAAGAATAAACTCAAAATGGATAAAGGAATAAATGTACGACAGGAAACCATAAAAATTCTAGAAGAATACAAAGGCAACAAAATCTCAGACATATGCCGAAGCAATTTCTTCACCGATACAGCTCCTAGGGCACTTGAAACTAAAGAGAAAATGAACAAATGGGACTACATCAAAATAAAAAGCTTCTGCACAGCAAAAGAAACCATCAACAAAACAACAAGAAAACCCACTGCGTGGGAAAACATATTTGCCAACGTCATATCTGATAAGGGCCTAATCTCCAAAATTTATAGGGAACTCATACAACTTAACAAAAGGAAGATAAACAATCCAATCAAAAAATGGGCAAAGGATCTAAATAGACACCTTTCAAAAGAGGACATTCAGAAAGCCAAGAGACATATGAAAACATGCTCAAAGTCACTAATCATCCGAGAGATGTAAATCAAAACAACAATGAGGTACCATCTCACACCTGTCAGACTGGCCATCATCAACAAATCAACAAACGACAAGTGCTGGAGAGGATGTGGAGAAAAAGGAACACTTGTGCACTGCTGGTGGGAATGCAGACTGATGCAGCCACTATGGAAGACAGTATGGAGTTTCCTCAAAAAACAAAAAATGGAACTCCCATTTGACCCTGTGATCCCACTTCTAGGAATATATCCCAAGAAACCAGAAACACCAATTAGAAAGGATATATGCACCCCTATGTTCATAGCAGCACAATTCACCATAGCTAAGATCTGGAAACAGCCTAAGTGCCCATCAGTAGATAAATGGATTAGAAAACTGTGGTACATCTACACGATGGAATACTATGCTGCTGTAAAAAAGAAGGAACTCTTACCATTTGCAATGGCATGGATGGAACTGGAGAGCATTATGCTAAGTGAAATAAGCCAGTCAATGAAGGAAAAATACCAGATGATCTCACACATTCATGGATAATAGAGACCATTATAAACTTTTGAACAATAATAGATACAGAGGCAGAGCTGCCTCAAACAGATTGTCAAACTGCAGCGGGAAGGCCGGGGAGGGTTGCGGGGGCAGGAGGGAGGGGAGTAAGAGATCAACCGAAGGACTTGTATGCATGCATATAAGCATAACCAATGGACATAGACACTGGGGGGTAGGGGAGACCAGGGGGTTGTCAAGGGCGGGGGAAAAAAGGACACATATGTAATACCCTTTGTAATACTTTAAGCAATAAAAAAATTTAAAAAGAAAGAAAGAAAGAAAGAAAGAAAGAAAGAAAGAAAGAAAGAAAGAAAGAAAGAGCTGAAGGAACTCTCCAGATGGATTTTGCACCTGATGCTCCTCTGTTGGGATTTTCATCAACTCTTTTTTCAGAATGATGTTTAACTTGATTCCTCAGAAAAGCCTCTGAGACCCCCCTAACGGGGTCAAACCCTCCGATCACCATGTTCCTCTCCTTGCCAGCACTGAACACATTGCCATTTGGCCTCTATTAGTGCACTTCTCTATTTGTCTCCCCTATTAAACAGGACAGGAGGAGTTATGCCTATATTTGCTCACCATGATAGCACCAATGCCCACCACGGTGTCTAGCATATAACAGGTGTTTAATAAATATGTACCAAATGAGGAAAATCATGACTGAGTCATGGAGAAACCAGCACTCCAAAGTTTTGGTGTCCAGGTGATTAGGTAGGACCCTGAGTGG